AGATGCCTCCAGTTACTAAAGTCTCTTGCAATTACTGAAACAGTCCTCCACAAGCTGAAATCTGATTTGCCTTAAGATATTAATGGGCTCTAAAATGCAGATGTTCAGGAACTGCTTCACAACCAGATATACCATCTATATAGCAGATGCACAGCAGATTGAATATATAATTGATGGTGAGCATGTGATTTTTAAGTTTTTGAAGACAAATATTAAAGCCTTCTTCCATTATCTCTGATGTCTGACTATCTGCTACCCATGTTGAGCAAGAATTATTTTTTTTTGTAGCATTGATAATAGACCTGAAAGCCACCACATGAAGAGATGGTAAATCATATGGTAATTAGTGATGTGTAGGAAAAGTGATTGTGTTTGAAACGGAGAGAAAGAATGAGTATGCATGTTAAAAAATAACAGGAATTTACTAGTTTTATTGCAATGCATCAATTACTGAAAATTCCTAATGTTTTCTTTCTCTTCTCCCCTGCAGCTCCCTGCTCAGGCAACACTTACTTCTGCCATAGCAACATGTGCATCAATAATTCTTTAGTCTGCAATGGCATTCAAAACTGTGCATACCCTTGGGATGAAAATCACTGCAGAGGTGAATATAGTGCACAGTATAGCCTTTGCGAGCTAGGCTGGTCAGTTTGCCTTTCAAGGAAGTCATGAAATGTCTTTTTTGTAGAAATATGCTGAAGACAGCTATTCTACTAATCTCAGGAAAGTGTTCAAAATTCTTTATTTAAACTCAGGAGACATGTAAGCATCCTGAATATTGATCTTACTGCTTTATAATTAAATTTCTTCCTCTTCAGCATATACTCTCTGTTTTAAAAGGATGTCAGCTTAATAGGAAATAGAATTTAGTATTTGCCAGGTTGCATCTTATCCATTTCTCAACTTTAAATGAAGCAATGATCTTAGAGACAGGTAATACCTTTTATTAGAGAAACAAATATAGAGCTGGAAGAAGACAGACAAGCCTTCAAGCACAAAAAACCTATCATAGGGCTGAAACAGAAGCAACAATCTTCAAGAACAAATACAATTTTAAAACATTTGTTATAAGTTGTTAACCGCAGACTGTCTCAGAGTAAAGGCAACTGCTACCTATGCTGTGAAAAGGGTGGGAGGAAGGAAGAGTTGTTAGGAAGCAAGAAGTCATTGCTTATGGAAAACAGACATGTGTAAATCATTGCTTCTAGAACACGGGGTAGGGGAGTATTGTTTAAACCCTCACAGCTACAGTAAAGACTTGTTTCAATATCAAGTTGTGTAGGAAAGATTCTCATGATTTGAGGAAATAGTTATTCTGCTAAAGCACAAATATATTCACCTGTGCTTCAACAATAACAGTTTTCAGAGTTGCGACAAAACCAGTTTAAGGCCAACAATTTTTCTTGCTAAAAGGAAACAATAAAACAACAAACTTGAGCTTGGGTTTTTTTGACAAATAGAATGGCATGAAGAGGCCTGGACACAAAACTCCTGGAAGATTTAAATGTGTATTCCGTTTCAAAGAGAAACTGACCCTGCAGGAAGGGTCAAAACCTTCTCTACAGAAAATCTTGAAATAAAACAGCTTTTCAACATTCAAATCCAGCTTCAATTTTTTAGTAAATAAATATTTTTAAAACTACCTTGAAATTGCATTTTGAGCAAAAAAAATTCACACCACTAGTAAATACTCTAATGCAAGGTGTATTCTGGAAGCTTTCCAGTTAACAAAACTGATCCATATCTCCCAAGTTTTCAACATAGAAGTAAGCTTCCTCTAAACAATCCTTAGCTTTGGTAATATTAAATGTTTCCTCTTAAGTGCAATTTCTAGATTTCTTTCTGATCTCTACCAGCTGCTCTCTAGAATCTTGCCTAGAATCCACACTTCACTCTCATACTGCAGTATTTAAAAAATGAATTATAAATAGAAACCCTATCACAATGAGAAGAAAGCATCTTTCCCAGTATTTATTAATTGCTGTATCTGGTGCCAAATAACCTACCATCTTTTATGATGAATACAATTAAATTCAGCAGATAATTAAGAGACAGATGAGGTGGACTGAAGGGAGACTGATGCAACCAAATAAGCAATATCTAGCCTTAAAAAGAAAGCTTCTCACAATTGTGCTCAATTCCTTCAGGCACCCAGAGTTCTCATTTAGTCCACATTGACAGCTACCTAAATCTGAGCATGTTGTGACCTACCTTATGCCTAAGCTGTGGCACAAAAATTGATAGAAAAGTCAGCTGTGTGCAGTTTCTTTTAAGAAACTGGTGAAGACATCACCTTTTGCATAACAACTTTTTGATAAGAATATCTTCGAAGAATTAACAAACCTAGATGCAGATGAGAGTGGCTGTAGCACTGAAATTCATACCTCCCACAAAGGATGGTAACACTAAAATATAAGCTAGGCAGGACAAGGGGAGATATCCTCCGTCACATTAAACGTGTAAATGTAACTCAGAGTCAACAGTCTAAGAAGAACTGTATTTCAGACATAACTTATTAGCCAATTCCTTGGGACTCTGTTCAGTGTGTGGATTTGTTTCAAATACCATGTGATGGTATATAACTCTCCACTGTGTGTGGAGTTTTTAGGTGCGCAACACATATCCAGGTATCGGAAAACAATATGCAACATTTAGGCTACTACATTTTTTCTGCGTAGTCTGAAATGCTTTTCTCCCCCACTAGCAGATGTTGCAGAGTCTCAGTGTAGAATTCTTTTAGTCCCCTAGGACGAGTACATTTATAGAACAGAAATCCACCTGGAAAATTTTAATCTTCAAATAAGAATTTTAAGTTTGGAAAACCATTTTGTTCTGATGCTGCCATCTTGTGTGTTCTTATATGAAGTACTAGCCATATGATTTGGGTTGGTTCATTCCCCCTTGCCTCCATCCCCATTTTTCCAACTGACTTGATTACTGGACTGTTAAAACTGGAATATGTCTATGCTAAGGCTCCCAGTGCTGAAATAGATGCAATAGACTTACAGAACAGACAGTCATTAATGTGAAAAAAAAAATAGTAGAGTCAATCTTGCATCATCACTATGATAGTATTTCACTTTTAAAGAAGAACTAAATAATTTTAAAACTAGGTTTCTTTCTACCAACATCAGTGGGAGTGTTACCAGCAGGAGCAAGCCATGGTAAGAGAAGCATCATCTATAGCTGTATAAGCTCCTATTTAATTCATGGATTTTGGAATTTTAACCGATCAGTATAGGTTCAGGATTGAAGCCACATCCCAGCTGAGTCAGCATGCACTGGCCATGGAGTTGCACCTGCCACTGAATTATCATATGGCAGCCGCTAGTGCAGACAGGGAATTAGACTTGCTGAACAAATGCACAGATCCAGTATGATAAATATCACTGACATACAGGTCTAGTCTCCAGTGCCATCAAGTAATTTCATTAGTACAGCACTTATATGCTTTGTTTTAATGCATTATCAAAATGTGGAAAATAAAAACCTTCTCATAATGCTCGTTTCTTCTTTGCAGAAAAGAAAACAACTGGATTGTTTGAACAAATCACCAAAACTCATGGAACAATCATTGGCATCACATCAGGGATAGTTTTAGTTCTTCTCATCATTTCAATTCTAGTACAAGTAAAGCAGCCTCGCAAAAAGGTTATGGCTTGCAAGACTGCTTTCAATAAAACTGGTTTCCATGAAGTATTTGATCCTCCACATTATGAACTATTTTCACTAAGGGACAAAGAAATTTCTGCAGATTTGGCGGATTTATCAGAAGAACTTGAAAACTATCAGAAAATGAGACGCCCTTCAACAGCTTCCAGATGCATTCATGACCACCACTGTGGATCCCAGGCCTCTAACATAAAACAAAGCAGGACAAACCTCAGCTCCATGGAACTTCCCTTTCGCAATGATTTTGCACAGCCTCAGCCAATGAAAACATTTAATAGCACATTCAAGAAGAGTAGTTACACCTTCAAACAAGCGCATGACTGCCCTGAGCAAGTCATAGAAGACAGGGTGATGGAGGAGATTCCGTGTGAAATCTATGTTAGAGGAAGAGAAGATACAGCACAAGGTTCATTATCTATTGACTTTTGATTTCCTAGTGAAGGTGATATCAGTGTATATACAAGATGCTTGTGTATAATGACAGTGTATATATTAAAAGTGTACTATATGCAGCGTGTGAGATGCACACACTTTTAGCTTATACATCATTTAAAAAACCCCAAAATCTTCATAACTAGTTCTTGCTGAAAAATGGTGGATTTCCTCCCATCTTCCCAAGCTACCTATCTAGCAGAGGAGTAAGACAGACTTTGCATGGAAACTATAAGTTAAGGATATTGGAAGAAAAAAAACCAACAACTACTAATCACTGAACACTGAAAACAATGACTACTGTTCTCTTCCTCATATCATTTTCTCCTTTAGACATCTGCTTTTCAAGACAATTTTAATACCTCAATTACATAAATAAAAGTAGTTAAGTGCACCACATGTATGTCAACATAGGTGTCTTATTGTATTTGTCAAATTGAAAGTAGAGTTAGTGTTAAGTGCCAGTAAGACTCAAGAATTATCTTACAGCCATCTGTTTCATTTTGTCTACCATTTATATTGCTTTTAATTATCAGTTCCTTACTCTATGCTTTGTGAGAAATAAGTGTAAAGGATTGCTGCCTTTTAAAAATATTGAGTTATATTAATTTTAGTACATTTGGAAATACATAATGTTTGCAGCTTTTGGTTAAAACATAAGTACTCATGTTATTCTTGATGCAGACTTAAAACAGTTTTCTTTCAAGGAGGTTTAGGATTTTAAAATATTCTGCCATATATTATAGATCCATATGGGTCACTGATTTCACAGCTCTGTAGTTAGAAAACAATTTTGTTCCCGTGTTTTCCAAGTATTTACATAAATAGACTGTACTGTACATTTGTCTCTTAACTTATTGCAGCCAATCTTCCCTGCTGAAATCAGGGATGACTTTAGCTCATGTCCTACTTGCCTGAAGAGAACTGCTATAAGGTCAGTGTGATTACCAGATATATGAAGGTAATGGAAACAAGTAAGAAAAAAATAATAATAATAAAAAAAAAAAATCACAAAGCAACTCTTAATAACCCTGATGGAACCCTTCTTGTGCCCCATGTTTCCACTTGCAAAATTGCACGTTTCATACCTTTTTTAATGGTGGTTTGGACCTAATTTGAAAATTTTTACAATATAGAAAAATTTTTAAAATACAATTCTTCTCATTGTGGTTTTTAAACTTTTTATGTAGTTTGATATTGTACAGAGTATTTATTAGATCAAAATCTAGCACCTGTACAGCAGGCTTGTTTCAGTGTCCCTGTTAGCAGCTCTGAATAACATGGACACAGTGGCTGCTGTGTACATCACAATTTGCCAAGAATACTTAATACGACTTCTACATTAGCCTGCATTTTATTCCCTGGTTTGTTTGGGTTCATTCTGATATTTACTTTACAGAAAACCTTTCACTAAAGGTGACCTACCAGCTTGCACTGGGCATATTCATTATTTACAAATATATGTAAAACCATAATGTTTGTGGTGCTGACTGTAGTAGGAAAAAATCTTAATGTGCGCCCCTAACAACAGAAAAATCTCTTCTTTAAAATAAAAGATTAATCTAATCACAGATTTTCATTAGGATGACAAAGAATTTTTGTTATTTTTTTTTATTTTTTTTAACAAATGCTTAGAACATAAGCAGCTTAAGGGGGAGGAAAAAAAGAAAAGAAGGAATTGAGTATCTTCAAAACTTCCCAAATTTAAAATTAGCCCTGTCTGGTATCTAGGAAGACCTTAATCAGAAGCTCATAGATCAGAAGCCTGAGGCTGTAGCCTGGTGTCAGTTTTTATGCTGGTCCCAGAATGTATTTCGATTTGAAAAAATGAAAGTGGGCATTATTTTTAGACGTACTTCATACAAAAGATAAGTGTTTAAAAAAACCTAGTTAATTTTGACTGGAAAATTTCTGAATATTAAATTAAAACATTTCTTGACAGATTCTACTTACTTCTCATTGACTTCAGTACGTATCTCACCATGACCTGTATGATACAGAATGTTATTTATGACAGTCTACTAGTTCCAGATTCTTTCAACAAGTAATATGTAGTTTTACATGGGTCATTTTTGTCTGTATAACTCTTAAAAGTGCTAGGTTTGCATGATTAAGTTTTCTTTTTAAGGTGTATTTGTCCATGTGAAAAATAATGTGATTCCTATTATTTCCTAAGTTATGTTCTCTTTGAAAAGTAAACCTGCAATAATAAAAACAGATAGCCAGCCTGCAAAGCCCAGGTCTGTGGAGAAAAGGGGAAAAGCTCTACTGAAGAAATTCCCACATGGCCTGAATAATATTTCAATCTCAGTTGTAACTTTTTGATTACATGGTCAGAACACAGCTGCTTTTTGCCTACCTAGAGCGTACAGGTGAGCTCCCATAATCAGTCTTCTTTGCATAACTTTTTCCAGCATCCTCAAGCCCAGCTCTGTGAGCTTTGCTTTGCCCCCTTCCTTGCTTTCTAATATTTTTTTTTCTTTAGCATAAACACAAGATACTCCTGCCTTATCAACACCTGCTCCCAATTCCCAATACAGAGCAAAAACTCTGCTGGAGGGAGCTTTGCAGTATTTCTGTAACAGCAAACCCAACCCTTACTGCAGCAACTTACACTTGAACAGATCTGAGAGAAACCCAAAGGAATAACCATTTCTATAGGTTTTTATAAATAGTAAGGGCAGGAAAATGAAGTATCAGTGCTCATTTTATTAGAGGCAACGTGAAATTAACATTGAAACTAAAAATCTGAAAGGAAAACTTGGGTGTGGTGTGTTTAAAAAAATGATATGTCTGTACATCTCCTTGTAATGTTGATTTCAGTTACTTAGCTGTGCTTTATGAAATGGAAGAGTGGTAACCATTAAAGCCATAAATCAACTTCCAGTATAATCAAATTCCCTTCACTACAGAGAAAAACTAACTGGGTGGACTGCTTGGTATTACTCAGAGTGCATAAGGTTGACATATTCAGCAAAAGAATCTAGTATTGGTTTTGCAGTCTCAGCCCAGATGGAGCTGACGTTGTGGTCTTCTTTTTTGGCATTATCGAAAACACTACCTTTGATACTCTTGCAATATCTGAGTATTGTTAGCATATTTCCATTGTCTCCATCTTAAATCCATGCATTTCTAGGAGCATCCTGATTTTGCACTCACTCAATTGTACCCATATTTTCTGATACCCTCTGTTAATGCTGAATGTGCATAAGCAAAGATGCATTCCCTAGACACACACTGACCAGGAAAAGGCCAACAGCATTAACTACTTTTTGGTATTTATAATTAATTTTTACCTTCTGTCATAGTAGTTTAGACATAAAACTATGTAACATGAAGAAGGATTTGTTGTGGATAAAGGTCATAAAAGTAAACTTACAGCCAACATGAAAATAAAAGTGACTGAGAACCATGATTCTTGGGAGTTCTGTAAAGAGATGCCTGCATTTACATATATGATAATAGTGGTATAAGAAACTCAGACTTAACACCATTACTGACTCTGAAATGTTTCAGTGATCATAGAAACACTAATTTGTACTTAAAATGCATGAGATTCTCTTGTCTGCTGTAGACAACATGACCCTCATAGTGCATACAAATTATAATGGCATAGTATAAGAGTCACTGTCTATTTTCACTAAACCAATTCAAAGAAAGGTTATGAAAAGAGCTGCTATTGACTTACAAGAAAAAGTGCTTTTCATATGAACACTTCACAGAATTTTTAAGTCATTAAAATACACTGTTTTTTGTTTTTTTACTTGGCACAGAGAAGTGCATTAGCAGCAAATCTCCTGCTAAATGAGAAAAAAGGCTCACTTTGTTTTCAAATGTATTTAGCCCTTAAATAAGAAGATTCTTAAATCAATGATCATCACATTTAAGTTTCAAACTACTGAAGTATAATCCTTTATCTAAAAGGCTACCAACAGCAAAAGTAATTAAAAAATATCTCAGCACATATACCTGAGGAGCCAAGAATAAACTACTGCTTGAAATTAAACAACTTAACTCATAAGAATATACTGAAACATATCGACAGTTTGATCTTCCTGTATGATCAATCTGTTCACAGTAAAACTCAGTCAGATCCATTTCCTTTTATATGTCCTTATTTCAGAGTTTATGTACAAGCCCTATAATTGCTCAGAAGGTCTGCAGACTGTTTACCAAAACAAGATTCTTAATCTACGTCAGCCTGAAAGATGAGATAAGCTGATTTTAGGTTATTTGAGATCACAGTGTTACAACTGAATATTAATTATAATGGGAGAAAGGATTTTAAAAATCAAAAACCTTTCTTTGATTGATTCATGCTTTGGAAATTAGTATTTATAGCACTTATCTCAATCTAACAATATAAAAGCCATCTTTAAGACTTCTCTTCCTGCAGTTTCCAATAGCCATCTCCGTATAGGGTAAATCCCCCCTATAAATACACAAATAAATCACATGTCAATATGCTCTGATATGTGGTTCTGTGCCACCGTGGAACTGCAAGTACATTTTCACATTCAAATTCCTTTGCTACACTCCATTTTACGGAATCAGCTTAACAAAAATCTGTTTTCCATCTGTTTCATAGATCAACACCAACAACAGTCATTTGTCAATTGTCAACTTGTTCCCTCTTATCTAGATATTGAAGATAATCTATCATATAGCAGATAAAAAATGTTTAGTTTTTACAAGTCTGTTCTTACAGAGCCAGAGTCAGGAAGAAACAAGAAATTGATGTCTTTGTATGTCTTTCCATTACCATCATGTAATTTATGGTAAAAGCTTTTATACTGGAGAAATCCGTAAGAATTATGTCAAATTCTGTTCAAGAAAAAATAAAGTATTAGAATAAACCAAATAATAGGTACCTAAGAAGTACACACCTCAAAATTCAAAATAATTTGCTGGTTTGGAATCTGAATCATGCCTCCTGAAGGGTAAGAGCTGTCAATGCTGCCGATGTACTTAAAGGATGCACATCATACCACGTTCTCTGAACAACTGCTCCTCCCAAACACAGATTTCCTAGTCATCTTTCAAATTTTAAATCTTACTTCATTATTTTATTAATTTATATATAGAAATATAAGCATGTTATTTACATCATATAATTAGCTTTAAAGTACATTATCACCTACATAAAAGTTGCTTCTGTCTTCCTTACAGATGTATTTAGGAGCAAGAATTATACTGTAGAAGTATTTATCATTAAAATACAGCATTTCAGAGTCTAATCATCATGTTAATTTTCAAGTTTATACTGCAGCTTATTTTTCACCTGAAAAGTGAGAGACTACAAGGAAAACACAAAGCTCACAGGATTATCTCCTTAACTTCACATGAGCATGGCTGAACTGGAACAGAGTACTTCAAAGTTTTAATGATCAAGGC